ACCATTATGCTTATGCCAATGCTTATTCATGGTTTTATAACAAGACATATCTGTTTTCTTCATATAAATCTTGACTCTATATTTAGAGTTTGCAAATAATGACTCCAGTATTTGGCTGCTTGCCATGTCTGATAGAAAACCAGGATAGCGGCAGCACAAAACTATAATGTTAAGAAAAGGTCCGCTTGAACTCCATGTACTCCCTACAAAGTGAGAGCAAAATCTATTTAGTTGTATTAGTAACAACTGATGTGGATGGACGAACCAGGTCAGAGAATATAAGAACCCTTCTGAAGTTCAGTTCAATCTTACACTGACTTCAAAATCTTTTTTGCTAAAACAATATGCTTACTTCAGTACCCCACCCCCTTCCTGACCCTCAATGGGCCGTCAGGCACTGTTATATCCAGCTATCTATAGGCCTGGAAGTCTCTGTTGGACATGGCTGCTGTCTTCTTGTCGTATGAGTTTCAGGACTCATCTAGTGTCTATTGACAGAGTCTCTGAGGGCAATGTATTCTGGGATACCTATTACCTACAAATCATTTGAATAGAAAAAAAAACAGATTCTATCACCATTACACCTATCCGTAGGACATTTAAAGTAGGAATCTGTTGGGGGCTAGGGAGTGGGAGCTGTAGGTGAGAGAAAGGATAAGGATCTGGCTGGCTTGGAATGAGGAAAGAGAATAAAGAATGCAGTGAAAGGGGTACACAAGGAAAAGCAGGGAGTTGACAGTGTTCAGATAAATTTGGCTCAGCATCCAAACTTCTAGGGGAGAAGCTGTATTTCCTGCATTGAACCTCTGAACTTTCTGAGACTCTTACAAGTGATTTACCTATAAAGAGGACTGGAAAAAAAGAGAATTGAAATAAACAATTCTCTGCTATTTAAACAACCATTCCCTCCCCCTCCTCTAGGGTCAAATGTTCAGCCACAAGGACACAGAAAGAAAGAAAGAAAGAAAGAAAGAAAGAAAGATCTTTACACAAAAGCATTAGCACTAGTTTTCATCAATGAAACAAAAGTATATTAACTGTTAGTACAAAGTGCCTTCCCCAGATACCTGCCAACTCCCTAATTCCAAAATATTTATTGTTACATTATATTAAACATTTCATAATTAAGGACATCAACAAGTAATAGTACTACAGCTACTAGTGTAACAATCTGAGCTTTGTTTTATGTGTGAGCATTTTGGAAGAGAGAGACAAGGCTAAGTGGTAAACAAATTGGAAGAAGAAGAAGATGAAGAAGAAGAAGGAGGAGGTATTAATAATTAACTAGAAGCACTTGTCCAAAGACTTTTGCTGTGAAAGCAATGAGATGAATGTAACAATTAGGTGTGTGTGTGTCTGTGTGTGTGTATATATATATATATATATATATACTTGTGCTAATGTGTCTTACTATTAACAAC